GTTTTTCTTTTTTAATAAATTTGCAAAAATTTCTACATTTGTTTTTTCTGTCAAGATGGGGTGCTGAGTGTACATTAATGAGAAATAAAATGAACTTTTTTGATTTTAGCAAATGGCTGCAATGAAACAAAGAGTAAAAAATTGAAAGGGGTCTGAATACTTTCCGTACCCACTGTGTATATATATATATATATATATATATATATATGTGTGTGTGTGTGTGTATATATATATATATATATATATATATATATATAGTAGAACAGTTACAGCCGTCTCAGACAGATGAGCTCACCCACAAACTGACATCAGGAAATTATTTTAAACTGTGGCCACAAAGTGATGAAAGTGAAACGTTGATTTAATATTTCTAACATTTTCTAGAACTGAAGGCAAAAATATTTGTTTTATTGAAAAATATGTTGTGCTCCTATAATACACGTTTCCATTAAAAAACATATTTAAAAGAGAGAAAATACACAAGGGTAAAGATTTAACTAAATCCAACAGACTTCATTTATAAAGCACTTTTCAAGATGTAAAGAATTGGAAAAACGACAGAATGCTGTTAATAAAACGAGGAGGAAAGAAGGTGAAGAAACCACAAAATATAAAGTTTTAACATCAAGAATAACACAAAAATAAGTTGTTATGACGATGCTTTGTTCAAATCCCGTTAGCCAGTTCTTAATTACACGTTAGTCAGTTTAAATCACATGTTGTTCAGGTTAAACAGGTTAAATACAGTGAGTCAGTTTGAGTCTGTTTAAGATAGTCTCCGTCACGTTGTTCTGTGTTTTAACACCGGCTGAAATGTTCCTGCTGGTGATGAACTCCACACAGAGGCTTTCAGTTCTTATTATAATGAAACTTAACCTTTGTGGAAAATAAAATAAATACAATTTGTTGGAATATTAGAATTATTTTTTTTTTTACTGTTGCTGGTTTTCTAAATTCAACTTTATTTGTGTATTTTCACCAATGAGGTGTTAGAAACGAGTGCATCGCCTGTAAAAATGTTCAGCCGGTGTTACTTAGCGGTGTTAGCTCGCACGGTGTTTCAGAGGGTTTCTGCTGATTTATCCTCAGTTACTAATGTAACACTAGTTCTAACGTGAGACACTGAGCGGCTGGTTCTATAACTGTGGCTAACTGACCGTGTGTCAGTCAGACTTCACTCCTGCAGACGACGTTATTGTCTTCAGCTCAACGAACACACTCATAACTCAACCATATTACATTCGTTTAACTTTTCGGGTATGTCGACAGTATAAATATCGCGCTGAGCCGTCAGCTGTGAATGTGTTTATTTTTTATTTTGGAAAAGCATTCAAAACATGTTGCGTTTTATAACCATTTTACAGTTTTTATAACATTTTATTTTATTTTTTACAATTTAACGTGAAGCTGTTGAAATAGACTTTATAGGTTTAAAGACAGCTCCAGAAGATGTGCAAGTGATTGGCGTCATTTATCCCATGTAGTCTGGTAATAAAAGACTGTACGATATGTTTCTTTCTTTATATATATTTATATATAATGTACAAATAAAATCTCCTCCAGCCTTGGTGGTGTTGTGTTTCAGAGTCCGACTTCCTGTCACCGTTAAGTGTCTGCAGACATCAGAGAGCAACAGGAACCAGTCAGTTTGTGTCAGTGCGGCTGTTTGTGAACGCGTTTTTAGCGAGAGAAGAAGAAGAAGAGTGTTGTCCTGTTTTTAATATTCCCTCACTGCCTCTCTCCTATGAGGAGGCGAGGAAAGGAAGAGAGGAGAGCGAATAAGGAGCTGAGCAGTGATCCGGCCGCCTGCTGTCTGTTCAGAGAGACGCACGCTGCTTCTTGATTGGCCGGCTTGGCTGTCAGTCAGTTGTGTGATTGGTTTGTGACTGCTGGTGTTTCTTCTGTAAACCTGTGTCGGCTCTCCTGATTGGCTGAATCAGTCTGTCCCAGCTCAGCCCTGTGATTGGCTGGTTTGGGTGAGGAGCTTTTAAGGTGGTTGTGTTGTTGTATTTAAGGATGACGGAGAGTGAAAGACACAAACACCTCCTTTTCTCTCTCTGTCTCCTCTCTCCTTCATAACATCCTCCTCTAACTGCCCCATAATCAATCTGAAGTTAAGAAGTAACCTCCAACATGTCACTCATGTTCATCACGCTGCTCTGTCGTCTACCACAGGTTCTTATTTACGCTCTTTAGAGCGGTTAAGCTCCGCCCCTTCTGGTGGACCGCCTACAGTCAACAGTGAGAGACAAATAGTTTTGATTCTGAAAGTGAAGCATGAACGCCACAAAAAATGCAAAATACTTGCCTGCTAATATATGTCTAGGGCTTTTATTGTGAAAGGTAAGAAGGAAGAAGTGGACCTAGTCTGCCCTTTCTTTCTTATAGAAGTCTATGAGAAAATGACTCTGCTTCTCTATTCTACTTTTAGTACACTACACTGTACAGTACACAGTCATCATCCTCCAGGTCAAAGCTTCATGTGTTAAAGCTGCATTCTCTCTAGTGTCCACCAGGGGGCGACTCCTCTGGTTGTATAGAAGTCTATGAGAAAATGACTCTACTTCTCTCTTGATTTATTACCTCAGTAAACATTGTAAACATGAGTTTATGGTCTCAATCTCTAGTTTCAAGTCTTCTTCAATACAGCATGATGTTCATTTAGTACATTATGGTCCATTTAGAGTCACACAGACCATAAAGCAGGGGATGCTTTAGGGCGGGGCTACACGGTGATTGACAGGTCTCTACCAGAGATGTATACGACGTCTCTACGTCACTCCTCCTCAGTCCAGATATGGTCACTTCCTGTTCACTGGTTGATAAATAAATGTTCCATTTCAAACGGGATGAAAAACAATATACATCTCTCTCCGGTCACACGTTGGTTCACCAGAAAGGGGGCGGAACTTCACCGCTCTACTACAGTTATAAACAAGCTGGAGGCGAAGAAGTATGTAATTATATATCTGAGAGCAACACTTTGAGTAGATCAGAGTGCAAGCAGGAGGTCCTTCAGAGAGATCCACACTCGTATTGTTCTCTTAAAATGATCTCACAAACGTTTAAGACAACAAGACCAGCAGCAGCTGTAATACCTGTTAACTGAAGCTGCTCGTCAGGCTGGTGACGGTGTTCTGCGTCGTTGTTTTCAAAGTCTCTAAAAAACAACCACAGAGTTATCAAACGTCTTCAAACGTCTCCCTCTTAAAGAGCTCTTCAACATCGTGGACGCTCGGCGTAAACGCAAAAAATATGAATGTTTTAAATAAGAAAACTTAACAGTTAAAGCCATCAGTGTGGATGAATGCTTCTCTGAACTATCCTGAGTCTGTTCACGTTACGGCACCTTCGTACATTACAACTCTTTTAGACAAAAGTGTGAAAACAAACCATTTGAAGTACAATAAATATAAATATTCAGTATTCATTCACAGGAGCAGCTTGTGTTCATGTGTCTCTGCTGCCACCCAGACTCACTCCTCCTCCTCATCATTATAAAGATTATCTACATGTGTGAACGTGTAGACGTCGACCTGTTCATCCACTCATCTTCTGTTCTTAGCAAACACACAGACACACTTTCTGTTATTTTCTTTGTATTTCCTCATGTTTACACTCAAACCAACATCATGACACTGTCGCACCTATTATTATTATTATTATGATTATGGATCCTTCTGTCATGTGTGGTTTGATGTGTGAACCTAACTAATGACACTAACATGTCTCTCCTTACTTTTGTTTTGTATTTGTATTGATCCTCACCTGCTGCTGTCACTTCTTCTCTTCTGCTCCTGTCTGCATGTTGATCTTCTCTCTGTTGCATGTTTTCCATATTTTGTTTATAATCCATATTCATTCATTCATTCTCATCTGCATGTCTTCATTTCTTCACGGCCTGTTTGTGTCTGTCCATCTCTTTGGTGTCCCCCTTCCCTCCGTCCTGCAACCTTTTCTCACTTCCTTCCCTCTTTTTTTCCCCCCTCCCCAACCTGTCCTGTGTTGCATCATGGGACATGTAGGCTTCTACGGTCTGGATGAGTCAGACCTGGACAAGGTGTTCCGGCTGCCCACCACCACCTTCATCGGAGGCTCAGAGAGCGTACTGCCGCTGAAGGAGATCATCCGCCGACTGGAGGTATGAATATCATGTGATATCGCAATGTTTGGGTGAAAGACGTCACCTGCGCAGGTGACTCAGGTGGATGACGCCACCTGCGCAGGTGACTCAGGTGGAAGACGTCACCTGCGCAGGTGACTCAGGTGATTCTGCTCTCCCTGTGTTGGTCAGATGTCCTACTGTCAGCACATCGGCGTGGAGTTCATGTTCATCAACGACTTGGAGCAGTGCCAGTGGATCAGACAGAAGTTTGAGACTCCAGGAGTGATGCAGTTCACTCTGGAGGAGAAGAGGACGCTGCTGGCTCGCATGGTCCGCTCCACCAGGTAAACCCCTGAACACACCTACATCCACCACATGGTCCGCTCCACCAGGTAAACCCCTGAACACACCTACATCCACCACATGGTCCGCTCCACCAGGTAAACCCCTGAACACACCTACGTTGTTGTAATATGTTGTTATCTGTGTGAGTGCAGGTTTGAGGAGTTCCTGCAGAAGAAGTGGTCTGCAGAGAAACGTTTTGGTCTGGAGGGCTGCGAGTCTCTGATCCCGGCTCTGAAAACCATCATTGATAAATCCTCTGAGAACGGGGTGGAGAACGTGATCATGGGCATGCCTCACAGGTAACACACACACCTCTATATATCTATATATATATCTACAGTTGTGTGAAAAAGTGTTTGCCCCCTTCCTGATTTCTTATTTTTTTGCATGTTTGTCACATTTAAATGTTTCAGATCATCAAACAAATTTAAATATTAGACAAAGATAACACAAGTAAACACAAAATGCAGTTTTCAAATGAAGGTTTTTTTTATTAAGGGGGAAAAAAATCCAAACCTACATGGCCCTGTGTGAAAA